ACGAACTCCCGCACCGCCAACAGAGGTGCCGGCGGGTACATCCTCATCGTCTCTTTGACGATTGATTGCAGGTAAACTAACTTCCCGATGTCCCCTTCTGTCACCGCTCTTTCCTTCGAGACGCCGCCGTCGATTTCCTCCTGAGCCTTGCGGAGTACGTGCCGGTTGTTTAGTAGAAGAGCGATCGCCCACGTCACCGTGACGGTGCTCGTATCCGTTCCCCCTGCAATCATGCTCTGTTTTCTCCCCCAATTATAAAATCAGAGCTTTGATTCATCTAATTAAAAAGATGAGGGGAGAGAGATTAGTTAGAAATTTACCAGTGACGTGGCTTTGATGATCGTATCAGAATCGTATCCATGGAGAGATTCACCGTCGAGAACGGAGAGCAGAACGTCCATGAAATCATGCTCTGTTTTTTCTGCTCTGTTTTTCTTGTGTTCAATCAGCCATTCCTGAAGGTACCCGTCCAATTCTCGGAAAGCCCTTTTCATCTCCTTCTGATGGCCGCCGATATCCATCCAACCCAGAAACGGGAGAGCGTCACCCACGACAAACATCCCCATGTAGTGGAAAAGCTCTCTCACGGCGGTCTTGAACTTCAGGGGAACGGCGCCGTCGGAAGCAGAGGAGCTCTTCCCTGCTATGATTCGCAACATTAGGTTAAGGCTCAAATCGCCAATCCATTTCTTCAGATCGATCTCAGGATTATCCCCAATTACTTTAAACAGATGGTTAATCGACTTCCGGACTTCGGATTCTCTGAATCGACGGAGAAGCTCCATGCGGCGGGATGAGAGAAGCTCGATCATCGTTATTTTCCTCATTTCCCGCCAGTAATCTCCGTACGGGCCCAACCCGAACATGGCGAAGTTGTAGGAGAAGAGCTTGGAGGCAGTTACTGCCGGGCGGGAGATCACGGCCGTGTCATTGGTCGTGAAGAGCTCCTTGGCGATTTCCGAGCTGCTGACTACCAGGACGCGGTTGATTCCCAGGCGGAGGGAGAATACGGCGCCGTATTTGTCTGCTAACGCCGCGAGTGCTCTGTGGGGAAGCTCCGGTCCGGCGAGGACTGGGAGATGGCCGATGACTGGCCATCGGGAGGTGGGCTCTGGTGGGTATCGCGGTTGGTTGTCGGATTGGCTGCGGCGGAGAGTTTTGGTGATGGTGAAGTAGGAGAGGCAGAGGATGATGGCCAAAGCAAGAATGGCGAGAGAATCCATATCTGGAGGATGTGAACACAATGGGTTTGAAGTTTCACCATAGTTCCAGTTGCAGAGGTTAAATGGATGTCTTGAATCGGCCAAATTGGACCACTACGAGTCACTATTTTTTCCTTCGCAGCCACAAATGTAGTGAATGGTCGGTTCTAGATTTCCAGTTTTTTCCTGGTTGGGCTGCTACGAGCTGTTCATTCTTTTTCTAGTTTTGGTATCATTTTCTAACCAATGGATGTGGACTCTTTTTCAGAAAGAATCTTACTAGCCCATCCATGATTTTGGTCTATGGATACTTCCCATTGATACGACTAGCACAGGCCCAGCCCGTTGGCCGGAAGGATTTTGTCGAGAAATATGATAAATAATAATGGATATATAATAGATGATTTGAAATGGATAAAATGATTGTTTTCTACCTTAGTTATACACATACCACATTTGAAAGTGATCCAACTATACATAATGTGTTTAGACCTCCATGAAAAGAGAAAAAAAAATATAATATAAGTATTACTTATAATTATTGAATGAAGAAAGAAATAAATATAAGTAATTGTCATTCATTACTTACCTAAACCATATAGTTGAATATTAGAGTTGTTTCTCATAATACATACATATATACATAATCAACCTTTATGATAAAAGAATTAGTATGTCCTTTAAGTTTTTTCAATAGAGAGCATTCCCTTTTACCGTTGGTAATGAATCTGAAGTTGCTTGATTTGAAATATATAGGACATGATGTTAAATTGTTGCTAATAGTTAGTTGGATAATGTGTTGTGTATGGACTTCCCAAATTATTCTCAGATTGCAAACATGTCTTGCAACAATGTAGTAATTTTCATGCAACAAATATTTTTTTATGAAATAATTAAATAAATAAAAACCTATGAAAATCATATTACATGAAATATAGTTACTCAGTAAGTTGATGAATGAGCGAGGGTATAAGTAAAATACATTTATTTTAAAAATATAGAAGTTGCAAAGTGTCTTTTGGGTTGAATGAGATCGCATATTCTCATCATCACTAACTGACTTATGCTTTTTTGCAATAGATAGTTCAAAATGTGCCTTAAAACTTTTGTTACCACGTAAAAGAATTGTTTGAACCAATGACTGTAATAGTATAAAAAATTTGGTAGTAGAGTATTTTATACTGAAATCATAATTTAACTGTGGTTCAACCGTTTCATATTGCTAAATATCACGTATCGATTTAGCCTATGTTGTCAAAAAAAAAAAGATTTAGCCTATGGTGTGAAATTTTATGGTCGAACCGCCAGTACGTACGATCTTTCAATTCAAACTCTAAATAAAAACCACTAAAATATTGACATTATCAAATACCCTTAAATCTCAAAAATTACCATAGTATTAAGAAAAAAAATCATTGAGATGATAATATTGATTTAGGATTTTAAGGGGTCGTTTGGAAGTGGATTGTTAAATAGATGTTTTGTTGTGAATGCATGCATAATATTATATATGTATTGTCGGATTAGATGCATTGTGTATGTCACATAAGCTAAAAGCTGAGACAAAACAATCTCAACAATCACAACTAGAAGTTAAGATATAACAATCACTCATTTTGGGTGGTAGTTTCTGTCACATCACTGATGTAATCCATGTATTGTTTCTACTAAAAAAATGTTGCATTCTAAACAATACAAGTATAATAAAAATCTCAACAAAACAATCGCAACTTTCAAATGACCCCTTAATTGAAGTGGAAAAAATCTATCAAATATAATGTCATCTCTTAAGATAAATCAAAACTCAACAGAGCCAAGAATACCCATTAAGCAAAGCAGAAGGCCAATTATTTTACACTACCTCATTTTCCCCCTCTTTTAAATGTGTCCTCTCACTCACTCTTATGTCCCGTTCACTTGCCATTTTATTTTCTGGTGTGATAGCAAAAATAAAAAAACTAATGGTAAGAAACGTGTTCACTTGCAATTTCATTATCGTGGGGAATAAAAGAGACAGCTGGGTGGAAACAATGATCGTTTGCTGGAAAATGAGGGACGAATTTTCCCCCGTTGCCCAACAGGTTAAGCCCAATGTAGTCAAAATCACGCTTTAAAACTTAAAAACTTACGCTTTTACGTTTCTAGGTCACCAAAATGCTTCTACGCAAAATTGTAGTTTTTATAGCTAATGTAGTTAAAACGCGCTTTAAAGCTCAAAACTTACGATTTACACTTCTAGATAGGGCTGCCAATCGGGTTTGCGGTTACCGGTTTAACCGGTTACCGTACCGGTAGCAGCAGTAACCGGTTAAACCGGTAACCGACAAACACGGTAATCGGAGGCGATTTCTTGGCTGGCGGTATGCCGAGACCGGCCTTGCCATTTACCGGCGGGTGATCGGTATTCCGACACCGAATTGGAAAGGGATTTTCACAAATCTCAAGCGCGGATCGGCAGAGTAGAAAACGAAAAGTCGGCCTCGGCCACCCACCATAAAAAAGCCCAGCCCTATTTTCATGATTTCATCCCCTGCCCTGACGCCCTGACTGGTGACTGCTGCACGACCACGAAGTCACGAACGAGTCGTCGACCGCCGATCCCGCCTCCTCCGTTCACTTCATCGTCGTTGGGTCTTGGCCTCTTGGGTCGTCGTTGTTTCCGTCGAAGCCAGCCGTCGAACCCCGTCGTCTCCGTCGCTAGCGACAGGAACAAGACTCAGCAGACAGCCGCCCAAATCCAGGCTCTGTTTCCGGGAAGTTCCTCCCGTCGCCGTTCCACTGTCCGTTGAACTACGTGAGAGTTGAGACCGTCGTCGTCACTTCTCCGGTCGCCGTCCATTATAGAGATAAAGGCGTAAAGCAATAGAATTCGCCAATTCGGTTGTCTGTTGCGGTGTTGCCTACTTTGCAACAGCCAACAATAGAATTCTGTTGAAAATTGAAATACATGCTCTGTTTTCCCTTACTTTCGTGAAACAATATAATTATGTTGTCTGTTGCCTACTTTGCATTTGTGTTAGAGACTTAGAGTGGTGAAGGAACCATTTGGAATGGTTGTCCGCAAGCAATGGGGTGACCATTGTTAATTTGCCTATTATTTGGCGTTGGCGGGACTGACAGGGAGACCAGGGGAGTCAGGGACAGACCGACAGACAGACAGCCGGATAGGAGGCCAGGCCGCCAGGGACACGCTGTCGGTAATTCGGGAAACCGTCTCCTTACCGATACCGAGATGAAACGGTAACGGTATACCGGCTGTATAACGGTATCGGCGTCCGGCTGGAGTTTAGGGGCTTCCGGTAATACCGAAACCGGTATAACGGTAAACGGTAAACCGATTACCGTACCGTTTAGCAGCCCTACTTCTAGATCACCAAAACGCTTCTATTTATAAACATGCTTTTGACTATATTAGTTACGCCCCCATTCCTATTAATGAGGCCAGCGTTCGAATCCCTCAGCCACCTTTTTCCCCTTTTGTTCACTTAGACCAAAGGTGTCTTTTTGCTAACCCCCAGCTCCCATCGTTCTTCTCCCAGCCTCCCCCAAACTCGACCTCCCCATTGAACGAAGCTGCTACAATCCGCCTCTTCTTCCTCTAGCGGATGGAGAGAAGATCGATCCGGTGAGCTCCTTCTCCAATCGGCGAATGATGGGTTTGCTTGGAGATGCCAACAGGTATTACCCTTCCACCGCTAAGTTAATCATTCTCAAGGGCTTAGATCCTCGAGGTCATATCAACATAGGTGTGGATTAGGCTGGATGAGACGGTGATGGCTACACTTGCCAAGCAGGTCCTCGATAATCCTCTTTGTTTTTTCGTTTGTTCTTCCATCTCTCTGTATCTCTGAGATTTGTATCTCGCCACTCTCCCCCTTTCCCTTCCTCTTTCTTCCCACCGCCTGGAATCGAGAGAAACCTAGAAACATCCCAATTACTTCTCCAATTTTGCGTTCGAAATGCTTCTTCTCCATTCACAGTCGATAGTGTGAATCAAAGGACCTGAAACATGGCAAACAGATGACCGTTTATTCCTCTCAAATGGCGCATTTCTCATAAAACATGAGTTCACCAATATAGACTGTGTGGTGTTCGCACTTGTGCGCGAGCTCTTGAAGTTTAAGTCTCGTACGACTCATGAAGCATTCATGCTTGTATAGGGTCGATCCATATACATTGTCTTCATGGTATGCTCTAACTGTGTCATGCTAGCTCGATCATGTGTCTGGGTATAGTTATATGCATTATAATAATTATGTTTTTACCTATTCGCAATACCAAGATAAAAAACAGTCATAAATGCATCCAGTATTTGATTTTGACTACCTGATAAAATACTACATTTGAACCAACTACCACTGATGCCACAAATAATAACTATATCTCTAAATCATACATAAAATATTTCAAACATCACAATTATTAATATTAAATTAATTATTATAAAGAGTAAAAATTGTATAATGAAATTAATTATAACTCATTTATATGTTAATGCCCTTAAATTGGTCAACACATCCAAAAAATGGCTAAATTAACATCACATTAAACCCAATATCGTCTCATTATTTTCGGGTCCATTTATGCCAAATTAGCAAGAGGTTTAATGTTTAGCAATTAACCAGGCTAAAACTTTAGATAACCAGTCACCTATAGTTTGTACAAAATATTATTGTTTTGTAGTAGTTAATAAAATTTATATTAATTTAAATAATTCTGTATCTCTTTTGCATATTCAATACTGCAATTCGATAAGCAATAATTTGTGTTGCAATTTTAAGATTACCCGTCATTTTATAGGTTATAAATTTTTTTATAAATCACGTATTAAACTTTGTTGTAACAAAGACTTAATAGGCTAGTTAACCGTGATGGAAAATTTCTCTGCTTTTCAAATCTTCGCTAAGTGTATGCTTGCAATTTAAGAAGATGAACTAAATTATTATATCTTATAGAAAGTGATTAATTGTGAAATTGGAACTCAAGTAACCTTGATTCAAACATTAAATATTAAATTATATGTGTGGTACAGTTAGATAAAATACATTGGTGTAGCCAAAACATGGGCTTCGTGACATATATAGTAATTTTTTGTGACAAATCTACACAAAATATAAAGATAAATTTGGCGCTATGACGAAAAAGAGGTTCGTAGAATCACTCTCAGACCATGAAATTTAAAAGGAGACACTCATTTTCCAATTTTATCATTATATTATGGGTAGATTTGGTCAAAAAATGACTATACTCGTTACAAAGTTGCATGTTTTGGTTACAGTATTTTGTCTAAACTAAACTATACATAGAATTTAATATTAATGTTTGAACCAATGTTATATGAGTTTCGATTTCAGAACTAATGTCTTTTTATAAAATATAAATTACTTAAGATAAACTATAAATATAGTAGCATCATCACCAAACATATTTCTAGAGTTCAATTTAAAATATACCAATAAACACAATGTAGTCTAGTTGGTGATTAGTGTTTACCAATAGAAGCAAATGAAACTCAATTGCATGGTTTTCTGTAGACAAGAGTTGCTCTAATGATGCAGATGAAAGGGAAAGAGACAGGGTAGTTGGGCTTTGATACAATGGGCCCAAGCTTACAAGCTTACATTATTTTTCTTCCTGAAATGGCTCATAATAAAACAATCCAATCTTTCTGTTTTTCTCCATTTTGTTATGCCAACTCCGATCTCACATAAATCAACCGATTTTAATAACTTGAGTTGTCACGAGAAGATTTATTCTGGATATTATATCATTCTTTTACACACGCCTAAAACGAAAACCAACTCACAAGCTCTATAGTACAATGGCTTGGACCCTACACAAGATGCCTCACAATTAGCTTGAACCCTTATAAGAAGTCGTACGATGGACTCAAACCCATTAACAAAGTAGACATTTGCGTATTAGACATTCTAATATCAATGTCCCAACAATAACCATAGATCACATCTAAACATTCTAACCCTGATAGAACTTACTATTGCTACCGGAAATGTAAAATGGGGTAAGATAGCATGACCAATGTAGTAGAAATCGCGCTTTAAAACTTAAAAACTTACGATTTTACGTTTCTTTAGATCACTAATATGCTTCTACACAAAGTCTCAGTTCTTATAACTTACATAGTTAAAAACTCCGCTTTAAAACTTAAAAACTAACGATTTTACGTTTCTAGATCACCAAAACGTTTCTATGTAGAAACTCGCATTTGACTACATTGAGCATGACTACCCCTAAAGGGATTGAAAAAATGACACCCCTATTAATTATAGACTTTTAAGGTAATAAATTTGTGTTGCATTTAATTATTTATCTGAATTAAAAACTCATATTAATTACTTTCTTTTTTTTCAATGCAATGGTAGGTGTATCATGTATGGGTTAATTGCACTAGATACCACGTAAGTATTGGTTTCGTTGCATACTAACAACTTAACTTTTTTAGTTGCAACTAAATCACATAGGTCTGCTTCCGGTTGCACCGTTATATTTTTCATACTTAAACTTAACGGTAGGTATCAAATTGAAGTTTTTCATCTTAATTTACATCATACCATTTTTATTTCACTTTCTTCCTCTCCAGAAAATAACTAATTTTTTTAGCTAATTTATTTTATAAATATAAAGGATTGAATAAACCTGATCACAATAGCCTTTGAAATTCTTCTCTTGCTCTGTGCCTGACGATCCACTTGTAAAATTATCTATAGAGTTGGAGATGGGAGGACTTCGGCTGCGAACTTCATTCGAAAGACTGAGTTTCGCTCTGGAAGTCTTTTCTTTAGTAGAACACTAGTAACAAAGTTATGATAAAACTTCACATGAAATTCCCTCATTACTTTACTTTGTTTGTCCCTCGATTTTATTACATAAGACCGTTTCTTAATTATTCTTCACTCATTCAGTTAAAGCATCCCTTGTATTAATCTCAATATGCTTCTTTTATTTTTATCTGATCGTCACTTAAAGTTCAGGTGTACAGAACTCAGCTATAGAAAGACTCCTTCTGCGGAAACTTGATTCAGCTCAAATATTCATTAAAACACGTACAACAATAATATGTACAAATTCACCTAAAAAAATTTCCCCCAAAGAAAAGCCTATACTGAGGTGCTAATTATGCAAAACATATTATAAACGAAAAAGTAGAATGAAGATTGCATTTCACATTCCACATAAGTTTAAAAATTTTACTGTATTTGGAATGAAGCCAAAGTTTAATTCGATTAGACATAAAAAAAAATTTAAAAATGAACAATTATAAATTTTAACGAAAACAATAAATGAGGGCATAAGATAATTAAAGAGAGCACTAATAATATCAAAATGAAGATGAAAAATGTGAGGGAAAATTGAATTGTGTAAATTGATGCGAAAATTTTCAATTTGATACATGTCGTTATGTTTATGGATGAAAAATATAATGGTGAAACCGGAAGTCGACCTATGTGATTTAGTTGCAACGAAACCAATACTTACGATGGTATCTGGTTTGGTGCAGTTAACCCTAGTTGTATCATTGTAATGATATGTGCAATAGTAGTTGTATCAATGCAATGTTAGTTTAAAAAAATATAATTAATATAAATTTTAATTTTCAAAAATCTTTAAATGCAACACGAATTTAATATAAAAATAATTATAATCAATAAGAGTGTAATTTTTACAACCCTGCGTATTGTGAAGCTAACCCAGTAAAATGGCAAGGCGATCACGTCACGGGTCTCTCGTATTCGTTGCATTTGGATCTGGATTTGGTGTGGTCGAGAAATGAATACAAATATCTGTCCCCGTCCTGTTTTTGGTTTTTAGAGGACGAGAAAGGAGAGAGAGAAGTCGTCGCAAAAATTGTGGTGTCGGTTTGCTTGTTGTTGTCCCCTGGCCGCCGGTCACTTCCACTATCCGTCGACAGCCATCACTTTCCAAGCTTGACTCAAAGAAAGCCCCGTCAACCCTTCTCTCCCCCTCACGTTTTCCTTCTTCAACGACGAAATGACGTGAAAAGCATAATACAGCTTGCGCTTTGGGAAGGCATAATGCCAATCCTTGCCTAACTTCGCCAAATTGAAAGTGATTGAAAATTGAAAACAATATCAATAAATGAAAGAAAAAAAAATACTTCATTAGATTCTCATAATAACTTATCAGAATTTATAAAAAAATTCTCATCAATGCAGTCAATTTCTTGACTTGAAGTAAAATAATATACTGGGTAAAATCTGAATCGTAAAATCGTAGAATTTTAAGATCCATATAAAAATAAATACTAAATCAATATTAATAAGACAAATAATGAATAACACAAAGCTACATAACACTTAAAATGATGATTTCTCAACGTCAATGTTCCAATTTCTTAAGGTGAATGTTGGAAAGCGGTGAATCAGTAAGGATTAATAAGTTGGCGTGAATTGATGATGGTGTATGATGGCTAGTGAGAGAGAACTACATGATGTTGGTGACGGAGAAGAAAAAAAGACATTTTGTTTTGCTAATTTGGGGATAAGTAAATATGACCCATAAATTTGATCTTATATATTCCTTTGACTCGATTAGATTTGATCCACATCCAATCAATTCAACAAGGACTTGAAAATCGTTTATATCCTTGAAGAGCATAAGATATTAAATAATATCAATCAAAATTTTCACTACTCTGTTCCTACAATTACAAACACAAAAATTTACTTAATCCACTTGCTTTTATGAATTTATCCTGTTTTTATGATCAGTATAGTCTCAAATGTATATATTGGATATTCCGTCATGTACCATCTACCCATGCTAGAACTTCAACAACGACACACAAAAAAAAAACGATTTATTTACTTGATGCATATATGTACAATGGCCTACAAGGCTACAAAAGATAATTACATATTTGGTGGTATTTGGTAGTGGCACTATTCATGGAGCCAGTCCAAGTTGAAGTGCTTCTCCGCAACCTGAACATGGAGCCCGATCTTCTCAAACCCTTTCCACGACCACGAAACCTCCTCGTCGCAGATCACACATCTCAACGACTCCATCGACGCCGCGGAGTCAGGAACACAAAACACCTCCGAGCATTCCCTCATGTCTATCTTCTCCAGCCCGGCCATCTTCCCGATCCCTTCAGGAAGCGATCTCAGGTTCACACACTGAGACACGTCCAGGTACTTCAGCCTCGACAGCTCGCAGGTGGACCGCGGCAGCATCCTGAGGCTCGGGCAAGCATACAGCCTCAAGATGTGCAGAGATCTCTTCAGGTCGCCGAGATTGGTGGGAAGCTGGCGGAAGTTGTGGCAGTTCGTGATGCTGAGGCTCTTGAGGGAGTGGAATTGGGAGGTGATGGAAGGGAGATGGATCAGATCGTCGCAGTGGTCGATTGCGAGCTCGGATAAGGAAGGGAACGTAGAGGGTAGGATGGAATCGAGCGTGTTGTTGATGTTGCATAGGACTAGAGATATCTTTCTGAGGTTGGTGAGAGGGGTGGTTTCAGGATTTGATGATGCTAATGTGGTGATGGTGACCTTCTCGAGCCAGAGGCTCCGAAGGTTGGAGCAGGTGGAGAGGATGGAGAGGTTTCGGAGGGTTGCGGTTTGGGAACCGTGGTTGATGACTATCAGTGCTCGTAGCCTCGGCATGTTGTGGATGAATGGAGGCAGGAAGTATGTTGTGGCAGAGAAGTTGATGATGAGAACTTCAGCCTTGGGGAGGTTCATCGCGAACCAGTCCATTTCGTTCATTTCATCTGTGTAATTCGATATCTGAGATTAGAGAGCTCGATCTGAATTTGAAACTCTCTTGAGGATGGATAGGTAGATTGATAGTTAGATGCATACCGGTATGAATTGAAATGATCTGAGCGCAGAATGGCTTGTCAGCAATTCTCTCCCATTCTCTTGGAAGCTCCATCTCCCTTCTCGGCATGATCATCTGCTTTCGTTCATTTATCTCGCCACGATTCGTCATATGGATGGCGAGATCACGCAACACATCGTGTTGACTCACAGAGATGTCATGGTAACTGCTATAAAGATCTCCAGCCCTAATTCCCCAAACATTAACCACATTCACAACCTTTTTATTAAACTTCGAATGTGAGGCAATTTTAGAAAGGTAGTAACTTGACGATGAAGAAAGGAGGAAAAATCCCAACCTAGCATCCTTGACGAGAGTGAGCAGGTTCTTGTCTGCGAGCTCAACAAGGATAGCAAAAGCTTCTTCCTCATCAACATCGTGGATCTCGACCCACATGTTGATAAGGACATCCAATGGGATCTTCTTGTCCTCTGGAAAAGATCCCAAATCCAGGAAACAGTCTCTAACCTTCTTGGGCAAGAATTGAACACTGATTGCCATCCTATCTAGTAACTTGTTCTCGTGTGACTCGCAGATTGGCTCGCCTCTAGATAGCCTCTTCTTCGCACTCGCCCAGTACATCTCAGGCTGCCCTCTCAATGCAGACCCAATCACTTTGAGCGCCAGGGGAAGGCCTTTACATTTATTCACAATCTACCCACCACCACCATCACAACAACAACAACAACAAAATATCTTTTAGTAAGTTATCCCGCAAAACAAACTAAGGAGTCATTTCCAATGAAATCATGTATTTCACTATCATGTATGTATTTACAATTGGTATGGAGAACCTACTACATCCTTAAAGTTACACGCATTCGTACAATGACAACAAAGATACATGGATCATGTATTCTACAGGTTATTCGTCTAATTTGCCATTTGGTTACCTGATTGACCAAGCTTGCATCAGAACCAGGAGGGATGAAACTCCGCTCAAAAGCAGATTGGCAGAACAATGAAACAGCTTCATCTCCCTTCAAAAGCTCCACTTCATAACTAGCACCAAGCACGGTAGAAAACTTGAACCGCGAAACGACAAGCGTTTTACAGCCATCAATCCTGAAGATCAGCTGCTCAAGAACCGAGAGTGACCATACATCATCAAGAACAATCAGAACTCGACCTCCAGGAGCTTCTTTGATGAACCCATCATAGCAGCCAAAGCTACCACTACCATGATCAGATTCAGCAATAAACCCCAGAATCTTAGCCCTCAGCTGCTCCACATCAGGAGACTGCGAAATCGTCAAGAACAGTATCCGGTTCTTGAAGTGACCTGGCCAAAAGAAAGATAAAATTTTCAAATGGGTAAGATTGTTAGAAATGCAAGCTTCTCAATTCCATTCATTCCGCCGCATCGCTGCAATCCATACTCCAAACGGATTCGAAGAAGCAGAAGTACTTACATCTAACTTCATCGTCCCTGCACAAAATCAGTAGCCAGAGTCGTCTTCCCAGAACCCCAATTCCACAGATTCCAACAATCCTAATTCGTCTCTCTCAATCACCATCTCTTTGACCCTCTTCTTCCCTTCCGCCATACCAACCCCCAATACAGTTACGAGATTACCCTCCCACCGCTGCTCCTCGGCGTCGACTCTCTTCACCGCCTCCTCCATCCACCCTCCGCCGCCGCCGCCGCCGCCGTCCCCAACCCCAATCTTCAGCGATTCGAGCCGCTGCTCTAGCTGGCGGGCGGAGCAATCGAGCCGGTCGAACCTCTCGACGGAATCGAACCGGAGGTGGTGGACGTCGGCGAGGACGTGGGCCTGGAGCGGGCCGTGGAGGAAGGCCGAGATCCGCTTCTCGAGCCTCTCCATCCGCCGGGCGAGCTGGAGCATCTTGTAGACGTTCCACCGGCTGCACGCGAGGGCCTTCCGGGAGAGCTCGAGGCCGCCGCGGAGCGTCTCGGAGAGGCCGTCGAGCTGGAATTGGCGGGCGGCGGGGAGCTCGACGCCGGAGTATTTGATTTCCTGGATTATGGGCAGGAGCTGGTTGGTGCTGGTGATTAGGGCATCGGCGGTTGATTTGCAGAGGCAGGCTCGTCGGGAGATTGAGAAGAGGACTTTGAGTAGCTCGGTGGCGATCTCGCCGGCGAAGAGGTCCGTCACCGTCATCGAGAGGGAGTGAGAGCACTGGTGATTAGTGGTAGTGAAAGGAAATGGCGGGTAATGTGTGGGGGAAGAAAGGGGGAAAAGTCACGAACTGAACTGAGACGGCGGTTTTTTATGCTTTTGCGAGATTTTCCGTGGATTTAAAAATCCGAGAAAATGAAGGTATTTTTATTTTATTTTGCGGTTTAGTGTAGTAATTATTATTAATGATCTCGAAATTCTCTTTTGATGGGATGTTTGTGAGATGACAACTTATGTTATGACGCAAGGCATTAGGGCATAAATGTATATTGATAAGAGCATTTCTACTACATTATATAGTATTGGTACTTTAATGTACAACTTAAAGTTGTACCATAACATGAAATATATAAGTTTAGATTGTACCATAAAAGAATCTGTACAATTATGTTATGATACAACTTTACAACTTGAAGTTGTACCATCACGTAAATGTACAAGTTCAAGTTGTACCATATAGAATTTGTACAAACAGTATAGGTATAATCTAAAATTGTACTATAGCGTTAAATGTACAATTTCAAGTTGTACTATAAAAGCAAAAACCTATAGCACCAATACTATATAGCATTGTAAAATTTCTCATTTTGATAATCTTTTGAAGTGTAATAACTAATAACCTTTTAAAACTGAGTCTCTCGCCAAACTTTTTTTTAAGACTTGTTTGTTATGATATTTTCTTTTAATTTTTAAATTCAAGCAAAAGAGGGATTGGTAGCGCCCACGTCATTGACTTGACATATTATGACATGAATTTCATGTTTGTTCAAACTTCCATGAATCATTAACAATGTTCAACTTGAAATTTGGCTCACTCTCATCTTAATCGTTTGAATTAGTGGCTATATTCGTTGTTCTGAAAAATTTGAGTTTTGGACGATATTGAACTCAAAACTTTAGGACAATGACTCAAATTAAATTATTTATACTAGTTAGAGATATAGATTTCGGCATTATTTACTATTTAAACCATTATTTAGGTTTTGTTAAGTTTTTGGAATTGTAGATGTATTTTCGTATTTTGGGTGTTATTTGAATATTCTATTAATGAGGTTAAATTATGGATAGTTTAACAAAATTAGTCTGGATATATATTTGTGATTGTAGACATAAGTCATTAAACAATTACATAATTATAATTTCTTTAAACCTAGTACCGATCTGCCCCACTCTTTACTCGAGTCTCTACACTAGATTTGGCAATCGGGTCGGGTTGGGTCATGTTGGGTTGGCTGATTTCATATCAAATATTGACCTAACCCGTTTTGGGTCGGGTTACATATCGTTTCGGGTCATGAGCGCCCTTAGAAGCAATATTAAACATGCTTCGTATTGTTTAAAAGAACACAAATCTTCACATATGCACGAGAATAGCTTACCTAACATATGTCAATTAACATATTCTCAATTCTCCACATGCTAATGAAATGAAATACAAATTGCACAAATCCTCGTGAATTAACATATTCTCAATTCTTAAACTCCAAACATGTTTTTCAAATCCTCGTGAATTTTTTTTCTAAACATCTCACCAATTTATGAGTGATTTTATCATTTTGAGAGTGACATATGAAATAGAACGGGTTTAACAGGCCGACCAACTAACCCTCCCAATCCTACCCAAAAAATCAAGAGTTAATCAAGTTCAGATTTTGGATTATAAAAACTTCTATTTTTCAGACAAATTTAGGTTGGGTTAACGGATTAGGTTGTAATTTGTCATGTCTACTCTACACCTCTCTTTTTCCTCTCTTGCTTTGGCCCCCACTTGACTGAACCCTCTTATTCTTCCTTCTCTTTTCTTCTTTCACAAGATACCCCTTTTCCTTAATTCTATTCTCAATCTCTATCAAAAGACGGAAAAAATCTCAGAATACGCGAGTTATTAAAAAAAATTCCCTAAATACAGTACTTATAAAAGTAATTCCCAAAATACAGCAGTTTCAACATCACTGTCTTTGTCTAAGACAGTGATGTTGATCACCGCTTTTGTCCAAAACAGTGAAGCAGCGGGGAACGCATCACCGCCTTGGACAAAAGCGGGGAATGCATCATCGCTGTGGTCAAAAGCGGTGATACGTTCCCCGCTTTTGTTCAAGGCGAAGATTGTATCCCCGCTTTTGACAAAGGCGGGGAACTTATCCCCGCTTTAGACATCAACAGTGAAGGCATCACCGCTGCTGTCAACAACAGTGATTGCCCCCACGTTTTACATCGCCCTGGTAGGTGGAGAAGTAGGTAACAGCTACCTAGCCATCACCGCTGTTGACTAAGGCGATGATGTGTTCACCGCCTTGGTCCAAAGCGGTGATTAGCTCCCAATTTTTCCTATAAAAACCCACGCCCTCCTCCCTCCTGGTGCCAAACAGAAAATTAGTACAAAAATTATAGTTTTGTTAAGTCGTTTTCGCAGCTGGTTCCTCCGTAGTTTACTACTCAAGAAACTCGTCGGGATTCGGTATGTTAGAATTATGTATTGTTTACATTTTGATTATGTGCTAGAATTAGGTATGTTAGAATTATATATTTAGATTAATTATGATATGATATATGTTAGTTAGTTAGTACTGAATTTAGATTAATTTGTTTAGTTTTCTCATGATAGATCGGGATTGAGTATGTTATAAGTATGTATTTTTTACATGTTGATGTGTTAGTAATTATACTGTCTGTATTTAGTGAATTGCGGTTATTGGAAAATATGTTATGATATTATTTAGTTTAATTATGATATGATAGATGTTAGTTAGCTAGTTATGAATTTAGATGAATTTGTTTAGTTTTCTCATAATAGATCAATTAGTTGCATTTTATTATCGCTTTGGATGATATTGTTTTTGTATCCATAATGTACTAATTATATACTATACTTAATTATTATAAATTGCAGACATGGGTAAATTTAAGAAGTTTCGGCTTATTATTTATTGGAATGGTCGGGTGACAAACTCGAACATTGGGATCGACTATGAAGATGGCGAATCCAGTATGCTTACAATTGAGTCGAGATTCTCGTGGCAAGAACTCCATGACAGGTGTGCAGAAAGGACTTGTACGGGCGGGCAAATGAGAGTTCGTCAAATTACTTACCGGTATCCCAACATGAGTGCTGACGGAGTCATGTACGAAAGAGTTGACATAAATGATGATGACGACGCGAACATGATGACACAGTTCATATCTGAGAACGGGGTGCGGCTTGCAGAGGTGTATGTCGAGACCGAGCCGGTCGGTGAAACTCATTCTCACCAGTATTCTTATGATGATGGTTTTGCAGGAGGGTATGGCTGGGGTGGTAGTTCAAGTAACTACGGAGCAGGTTCTTCTGCCGGAGGGTATGGTTGGGGAGGTACTTCAAGCAACTACGGAGGAGGTAGTTCTGAAGGAGGTGTTGGGTGGGAAGAATACTTGCCACATGGTGGTGAGACTGCCGTCGATATCGTTCAGCCCGACGGTGATCAATGGCCTGCTTGGGGTCCAGAGTGGGGTGACATTGAAAACACCCTTCGAACTGGGCGTACTTCGCATGACCAAGAAGGCGATGCTGGTTATGCTGCTAACGATGACCATCCTTTGCCGAGCTATCCATTCGCCTCCAGTGACGATGAAAGTGAGGAAGATTTGAGATCAGTCAGTGAGGAGGAAGATACGGACGATAACGACGATATCGATGACAGTGAGGTGGCGTTCCGACAGGCACCAACGCCTTACTACACAGAGGTTCCTGATCAATTTTTATATGGTCAGAACGATGCCCCTGACTTTCGACCCATGCCTGTGTATAATCCGACTGCTAATTTGGAAGTGGGTATGGCGTTCACTTCGAAAGCCGATGTGCAAGACGCTTTTAGCGAAGAAGCCATGCGGCGTAATTTCGAATGGAAGGTAAAATATTCTGACAAGGGACAACTGCATGTCATTTGTAAGAATGCTGGAGAGGGTTGTATGTGGCAACTTCGTGCTGCATATATGAAGAGAAAGGGGGTCTGGGTCATGCGGACAGTAGAGAACAACCACAGTTGCTCCTCAACCATACTTTCACAGGATCACCGGCAACTGAAAGCAAAAAAAGTGGCAAGAACCATTAAGCACCTTATCGAGGCACAACCAGATATCAAGATAAAAGCTATCATGGCGGAGGTGAAGGATCGACACTCCTACACCATAAGGTATAAGAAGGCGTGGCATGGGAAGCAGAAGGCCATGGCTGATGTCTACGGTGATTGGGATGACTCGTATGCTTTACTCCCCAGACTAATGTCCGCAATGGAGGAGTCCAACCCTGGGACGGTTTTCGTGCCTTGGTACAACAACGTAGAAACTGAAGATCAAGTTCGAGTACAAAACGAGTTGATGTTTCATCGTCTGTTCTGGACATTCAAGCCATGCATTGACGGGTTTCCCTTCTGCATGCCAGTGATTCAGGTATATTACGGACTCAAAATATTGTACTATTTCATTACTTTACTAATTTCAATTTTTACTAACTCATTATTCATTTTAACAGGTTGATGGAACTTTCCTTACTGGGAAGTATAAAGGAACTCTTCTTATTGCCACTGGGAAAGTGGAAGGTATGCAGCTCAGGGCGTCATCGCTCTGCCATTGCCGTCAGCAGATCGTTGTCAATATCAAGCCTCATAAAGTGCCTCAAATTGTGCAATCCCGCCCTCTCTAGATAGGGATGCAGTCGAGGATGCCAACGGGGCAATCGACATGTACCTCGATGACTGATGGGAATAAGTGATTCCTACAAAACAAAAAACACAATATTGTCAGTCAATAGAAAGCAAAATAAAAACTTAGAAAGCAAAATAAAAACTTTAAAACTATTGAAATAATTTTAGTGTGTCTACCGGATTATTGTTCCAAATTGAACGAGAGCGATGTTGATCTTGCCCGGTTAAATACCTTCGATCCCTTGGGCCAGGATCGATATACAATCTAGGGTCGTATATCTCAGCACCCATCTATAAAAAAAT